CCCACAGGGATGTTAGAACAGTTCTCATTTATTATCTGAAAATCGACCGAGTGTTTATTTTCTTTGGAAAGTTATTTGACAACAATATGCTGTCTAAAATTATAAATGGGATTTGCACCTAAATATATTGTAATATTGTAATATAATTTAATTTAACTGAAAATTGAGATAACTTTGCTGCATTTTCATCTTTAGCTAGAGAGTTACATTACTTAAATCTTTAGTTGTGCTCTCTGTCTCCCTTCAAGTTTTGTCTTCTTAGCAAATTCTGTCTGTTTTCTGTACCTAATTCGCATCAAATCTGTTCTCTGCAAAATACTGCGCAAATTAGCTCCACTTTGTCCAAGACGAAAACATAACCAGTTTCTAAGTCGCGCCCCGTCGGAGTACGCAAAAAAAAAACGCAGAAAAAACAATAACTCAGATTGGCTCAGCGCCAGCGCAACTGTGCGCCAGCCATTAAAAACTCATCACCATCATCAGCGACCAACTGGAATGAGCACACACAACAACAACAACAACAAGAACAACAACATCAAGAACAACAACAACAGTCGCTTTGGACAGCGACATTGTGGATGGGATCTGCCCTGAGAAGCCGCGGGGTTGCGTCTTGGCGCAACGTTGAGGGAGTGTCCAACACATGCGTCGAACTTTGAAACGCTTGAGTGCACAGCTTCAGGTTTAACTCTTGACGATATATATATAGTTTTGTGCATATATAACTTGCCACTGAGCAACGCCATTTTGTGTTAATTTTATTAAAAATCTTCGACGCCCACAAAATTTACAAAATATTTAAAACCAAACTTCCGCCAAATGAATTTTGCGCGTATTCTTATTCAAATGATGCATGATGATGGGCGCGGCAGGGCCTGGGACTCACCCTCAACTGAGAGGGGGACAGCGGCAGGGGCAGGTTTTCTCACGAGCTGCGTAATTACAGTTTACTTAAACTGTAAGAACTACGCAGCAGCAGCAGCAGCGGCAGCGGCATCCGAACTTTGCGATCCGTATCGGTATCGTATCGTATCGCTGGGTACGCATCTAGCGATCCTTCGTCTGCGGCTTCGTTTTACTTGTGGATCTAATTGCAAATGCCCAACAACAACAACAACAAACAACTACAACATGATGAACCTTTTTCGTTCAGCGACTGCAATTAAAATGGAACCACCAACCAGCCAAGCAACCATTTAGAGAGTCTCAATCTCAGTCCCAGTCTGAGGTCTCAGCTCTGAGCTCTGAGCTCCGAGTCTGTTGCGGAGTCTTGGCCCGAACAGCATGCCGGAAAAATCGACTCAAATTACAGAGACGCACACACACACACCAACTCAGTCTCAGCCTCGTACTCGTCCTCGGTTTCGGCCTCGACTCGTTTACCCCAACATTGAGGGCAGAGGGTCTCTGGCAAAATACTTGGAAAAATTTGCGTGCCTTAATGGCGCTGAAGAGAGAGGGAGAGAGAGAGAGAGAGAGAGGGGAGAGGAGGCAGGAGGCAGCGGCACATAATTGCCAGCTGTCCAGCGTATTCGAGAAATATAAAATCTAAATTTCTGCTAAATTAGACGAAATAACAGCAGATCTTTAGATTTTTGCATCAAAGCGCCGTCTTGATTGATCTGCAGACCTTAGGGTAGTTTCTGCAGTAAGTTTTCCTAATTGTTGTTCTACCCAAGTGTATACAATTTCATGCGGTCAGCAGTTTCTACTTTAATGTTACCCTAAACGATGTTTAGGCCTTATTATTTTGATGTACTCAATGTGATTGTCGATGGTTACGCGGGATAAATGCGTTGCAGGTGGTCCGAATGCGTAACTGGATGCAATTGCATAATAGACAGATACAAGTATGGATAGGAAAAATATCTATAATGCTAAAGTAGATAATTATTTTAATTTTATTCTTATTATTATTATTTAAAAAAAAAATCAGCACTAATTGAAGCGTCCTTTGGCTGTGCTTAGAATAGAATATTTATGTTTTATAAACAAATAAACATATTTTGGAGAGCTTTTCAATACTGTTAAATACATTAAAGTTTCTTCTTTCAAAGAAACGTATTGAACGTAACATATAGAAGTCCCTGAGTTATATAAATAAATCCAAATATTTGTTAATGGGGTTTTTTTAGCGGTATTAGTTTACATTTTAATATTGCTTGCATAAAAACTATCAATCGAAAATTGAAGCTATGTATGAAAAAGTATATGTTCTTTATATTTACTCTTGAGCTAAAATAAGGTTTCGCACAACAACCTTATTTTAGAAATTAGCAGAAATGTTCCAATTAGATTATATTTTCACAACCTACCATTGTCAATGGAATGGGTGCGAAGGGTATAATGGTTTTGTGGAACTGTATGTAACAGGGAGAAGAAAGCGTCTTCAAACCCAAAATTGTTTAATGCTAAGGTAAATATTGCGTATAGCGAGATGCATTTGCTGTTGGTTGAAGAAGTTAAGGGTATCCCCAAGTCGGGCACTCCCGAAAAGAGTATTCTAACGTGTTTTAGCTAGCATTATTTGTAAAGTCTGTTTTTCCCGTTTTATATTCAGAATATTCAAATTGTTTAAAATAAAACATTTTTCGCACTTAATTACCTAAAATAAAACATTTAAAACTGACTTGATCAAAAAATGAATTAATTATTATCCAAAAACAAAATCTGTGCTAACGTATCGATACTTTTTTTGATATTAGAAAACCAAATTTTTTCTATCCTTAAATTTTGAAGTATCGGATTTTGTCCTAGTTTTGCAAATATTACATTATTATTACATTACATTACATTATTACAATTACTAGATGGATTAAATTCAATGAATTAAATAAGGATCTAAATGAAAAATATAAATTATTCTGCTTTTTATATCTTACGATACTTGCATAATATATATTTGCACATATACTTTGGGAAACTTTTAACTAAAGTATTTTTGCTGCTATCCTCAGTATTTGAATACTCTGCAAGAACTTGCTGTCAATTAGATGATGTCGTCCGCATTATAAAGTTTGGCTAGCAACATTTATTTATGAGTTGTGACTGCGCATCCGAGAAATCCAACTGACCTTAAATCATTTAATCAGCAAAGGCAGCCTTAGGGCTGAGCCAAGCCGAGCCAAGCCAAGTAGAGCTGGGCTGAGCTGGGCTGGTGGTATGCGAAAATGTTCCGGACATTCACATGAAATATTTGCGAATTTGAAAACTTGATGCCAACTGTTTGCAGATTTTAATCTTTCACAAACTCAAACCGAGCACACGCACAGACAAGCAGCTACAGAGGATGCGAGAGAAGAGGGTCCAAGACCATGAGGGTCCATGTCCAGTTCAGTGTCCAGCGGGCAGCAGGCAGCGAGGGGCGGGGCTAGACCAGAACATAACAAAAAAAAAAAAAAAATAAGTTGCAGTGACACTTGTTAGACGGGCTGACAGCTGGACAGCCGGACAGGCTGGGAAGCTGCGAGCCTGACCACGACCCAATGCAGATGTTGTCGTCATCATTCTCGTTGTCCTTCAGCTGCAGCTGCCCAAGCGGCGGGCAACTTGAGAGCCGGACAATGCGTCGACCAAGGCGACGACAACTTTTGCAAGCGAAGTGACTTTGACAGACGCCATAACTTGGGCTCTGGCGTAACGCCTCAACCTAGGGGCACACACACTCACACACACACACACACACACACACACACACACACTCGCCCAGTTATTCAGTCTTTGAGTAATGAGGACAAAGTTTTGCATTCGTAATGTCTAGCTACTGCGTCTTGCGACTGCTTTTTGGTGGTGGTCAGGCGTGGTGCAATTTGCAAACTTCATTTATTCACGCCCGGAGCACTTCTGAGTAGAGTTGAGTTGAGTATTTTGCGCTCTGGCCTGGCCACTGGTATTGGGCACCCATTTGCTGCTGCTGCTGCTGCTATTTACCTTCCAGTTTTGACCAACTTTGAAGCTTTCGACAGGCGGCAGGCGACAGGCTGTACAACTGCAGCAACTGGCGAAACTATTGAGATTGCTCGGGTGTTGGTTGAAAGTCGTCGATTTGTCACTTGCTTGGTTAAGCTACGATTGTTGCACAAATATCAAATGCATAACATGCCCGAAGGAATATAATATATATATATAAATTTTATAAAGTTATGACCAGCTATTGGTTGATGTTGAGAAATTATAATGATTAATGCGCTTATACAAAATCTATATAAAACTGTTTGTCCTGAGTGCGAGAAGTGTGAAAGAAGTCGTAAAATAATAAAATTGACACAAAATGTTGGTCATAATTCCATGGACTACAGCCTCACTTTTAACATATCTATGTAAAATATAATTTTAGACGTCAAGTGCAAGAAATCACTTGAATTTCCACAAAATAATGTAAAGAAAAAACTGTGACCGGATAAGGCCGGGCAAAACCAGCGTTAGGATATAACCCTGCGATCTACCAACCAGGCGGAATATTAAAATTCTGTTATTTTATTAGGCTATGCTCACAACAACTTCATTGTATATATTATATCCTATCAGTGTAACTAACCTTTTCATGTATATACCCTGTAGGCTAAACAAACTTGGGACTACACTCTACCTTAAAACTCTTTCACTTGGTGAAGATCAAAAGCTACCGACGCTACTGAGCGATTAAAGCGTATAATAAAACAAATTGAATTAAAAGAGGCTTACTTATTGTATGAAACTAAGCTAACAATATATTTTTTCAATGCACGCATATATTATTATTGCGCTATAATAGCTGATAACTTGCTTACTTTGATAACTTTTTAGCAGATAATAATTTTTAGAAAACCTTTTGCTTGCTTTTTGCTGTTGTGGTTTTCATTAGTTTGCATGTTGCATTAGGTGTGACCGCATTTCTTTTTACGTAAGCATGTTGAAATATCTGGCAACGCTACAAGTTGCAGAGTTAGCACAATTTGCGAGTGTGAAGTTATTTGCAGTGTTGCACAATTAGTTAAATAAAAAGTTGGCAGCCGCCTTGATTATCGTACATGTACTTAAATATATCTATTTTATTTATTTATTTAGCTGGGCATTTTGAAATTTAGATCTAAGGATTTACATTTTATAATGCCAACTTTAGTCCCAAGACCAATCCAATGCATATAGCTGTTCGTGCCGTGTGTCCTATATGCACTCTACTTCCTACAGAACAGGGGCAATATAACAGACATTTTTTACAATAGTTTTCAGTGTGATTTTTTTCCTGTTCGCGCTTGCCAATGACAATTGTACATCCCATTTGTGGCGTCCAGAAGCAGATGAAACCCTCCAATAGTTCTGCATATGCAATACATTTAGGGCATTAGCTTGATGTAAATTTCTATTTATTACCATGTACACGATAAACCCTTGGCACACAAGTCTGTAATGTATTTATAGTAGTTACATTTGGATCACATCTCTTAAGCTTCTCGATATCAGTCTTCAGTTCTATTACATGGCCATAACTCATAGCATTACAAAATGATAAGTATGTACTGCAATCGGGACATTTATTAGTAATATCTGTAATTGTACGAATATGTACGAATTGTATTATTGAATTATTATTTTTACTTACTACTCGTTTCATTCGCCGTTGATACTTTCCCTAGTGTGAAACATATTATTATTAAAAAAAGAATTATACAATTTCTCATAGCCTCAATTATTATTCCCCATAGTGTGTGTGTGTGTGTTACTATTAGAGCTGGCTCCCCTTAATTTTTAAGTCAACTAATAGTATTTTAAGGCTTGCTACGATTACTTTGGCGTAAGTTTTGCTTAGAAATATTACTATTATTTATTGCACAATTACCTATGAATATTATTAGCTACTCTCGTCTTCTGTTAAGATATTGAAACATTTATAATATTGTGTTTGTTCCTTGTACTTGGATCTCCAGTACACTTGTAAACAAAAGTCGATTGAAATGATTAGAATTAATATATCCAATTAGAACGGCCGATAATTTTATTTTAATGTTGTATTATTAAATGATTCGATTTTTCAATTTTATGTTTTTTGAGATAAACACAAATAGATTATATACTTAAAAGCTTTTAGTTAATATAATTTTATTTTCTAGATAGTTTTATCTGATATTTGAAGTCTTATAAATGTTGTATATATTTTATGTATTTTTCGTATTGCTTTAATAAGCTAATTCTTTAATTAATCTTTTATCTTATAACAATTATTATATGTTTTAAAGTTTCATATATTTAAAAGTAAGATTACAAACTTTTATTCAAATTCTTATTGCCTCAACCTAAGCTTGGCATATTGATATATTGTTCATTTTATGGTCATCCGTCAGTTTTCTTGAAATTGTTATGTGGCAATTGCTCATTTAATTAAACTAATCTGCGCTGCTCCAAGAAACAAATCAGAAATAATACGTTCCCTGGTAACCGTTGACAATCTCCATTTTAGCTTCTAGAGCGGATACAGCCAATTGAATGGTACGATGACTGTCTCTGAGTGCGATACAAGTACAAGTACAAGTGCTTGTGTGTGTGTGTGTGTGTGAGAGTATTATGCCTTTTCGAGGGAATTATCAACTACGACGAACTTATATGCGATTGCCCACGACAAATTGCAGCCATTTAATTCAATTTAAATAAATTTAAAATTCATCCAACTTGTTGAGGCACTCGACTCATCTTAAACAACTGATTTGGATTTGATTGGACTTAAGCATACCAACTTTATGCCAGCTAAAAAAAATATCCAACTAACTTAGCGTTATATTTTCAATAATTCAATTAATTGTTGTGTATAAGATTCTATTTGTGATTCATTTATTATGAATCATGTACAAATATTATATTCAGCTGAACTAATATTAAGATTCAAGTTTTCTTTGCCAAGGGAAATAGATACATTGTATTTGCGATAATATGCGATAATTTGTCTAGTTTAGTAGTAATTGAATACTCTTGAAACGTAGGAACGCTTATAGAGTGACAATGAATCAAATTTTTATCAGTTGCATTTGATATATTCAATTTAAATTTTAATTTAGGTCCCTCCGTACAGTACAATCAATCTTTATTTCTTAAATAAGACATGTTGGCATAATCGTATAATCCAAAAGAAATTCCCTTTGCAGACTAACATTCTACTTCTAATCTAGACATCTTTAATTGAATGCTTAAAACTATGTTTCCCAAGCTAAAAATGTCTTGTTATAGAAAATTCTGTTTCTAGTGCTCTCATATTTGTCCAAGCAAAGAAGAGTATGATAAATTTATATTAATCAAATAAATTTATATATTTAAAGATCATACAATTTTTTTAACACCAAACTACTTTTTAAAGGACAGAATTTCAAATGTAGGTCTTCTAGTTAAACAATATTACCGAGTTTTATTTCATCATATGGACTAATTCCATTATATTTTCAATAGTAAGAATTTTAAATTAAAGGCGTCTAATAGAATTCGAATTTACGACTTAAATCTCTGCTGCTGTTCAATCTACTCTCACAGTTTCTTTACTGTATTTCATGTCTTCATTTTAATATGACAAATGTCTCTTGACTTTGATATTAAATTGTTCGCACTGGATTATCGCCGGTTTGCGCTTCATCAATTGTTTCTTCACTTTCCAACACACACTTTTATACCTTTTAGACCTTTCATTGTTGCTGTTGTTGTTGTTGCTGTTGCTGATATGCTCAATGTGCACTCACCTATTGTTTTGCTGTTGTTGTATTTGGTTTGATAATGATTATGTTGTTGCTGCACTTTGCACTCACATTGCGGTCTATACACTCTCTCTGTCTCACTCTTGCTCTTTGCCAACTGTGAATTTATTCTGGGTTTCGTGTTCCACTTGCCTTGCGGCTTACTCACTTTTATTGCAAAATAAGTTCAATGACACAAAAGTAATGCACGACAATGCAATAACAACAATAACAACACCAATAACAACAACAACAACAATAACAGCAACAATAACATCTTTTGCTCTTTGCCTTTTCTTTCATTGTTCATCGCACAACGCTACCGCTGCCTCTCCGCCCACCCCGCTGCCCATGCGGACCCAGCGTCTGCATTCACGCTAACTCCCTTTGTGCTGCAACTGAACATGTGCGCGAACGGGAGAGCAATAGCACAAGAGAGCACTGGCAACGGGCGCCAGCTAGAGCACGCCATTATTTGCATCTTTCGCTTTTTAACTCTTTTTTATTAGGCAGCCAAATGTGGGTCGCTCTCGCTCGCTCTTGTGCGCTCGCTCAGTCGCACTTTGCCTTGACTGACCGCAGAAAATCGATGACTGGCTGAAGCCCTTTTCTAGTGCGGCTGCCATAGCTCGTTTTATTGTTCGCCAAGTTCAGCGCCCAAAAACTAAACGCCATTTATTGTCAACGCCAACTTTCACTCTCTGCTTGTGGGAGAGTGAGAGCGGGAGAGAAAGAGAGAAAGAGCGTCAACAATCAAGTCAAAGTGCTGGAACGTTCCCTCATCATCAACACGTTTCGCAATTTCTATGGCCAGAACTTCGCGCTTATCAACATCATGCAATCAGACACACGCACACACACACACACACACACACACACACACACACACCAACACACATTGAACATTCATTCATTCATTCATTCAGTTGTTTGTTGTTGTTGTTATTGTCTCCCTATTGCATTTTCAAAAGCTAGACACAGGGCAACCTGTTGCCGACTCTCAACTGAAACTGAACTGAACTTCGCCAGGCAATGCAATTTTCAACAACGTCATCAACGACACCAGCAACAACAACATCAACAACAACACACAGACACCCACAGCCAAGCCGGCAGTCAGCCAACAACAACTACAACAAGTACAACAACTCCAACAACAAGTAGAAACCATTTCCAAGCCATGCCCGCCGTATAATACATTCAACAAACAATTGAAATTTCGTATACAATTGCGAATTGAATGAGGAAATGAATGTGTAAAATGAATAACGTCTGAATAGCATCTCTTTGCGTGTCTGTGTATGTGTGTGTTTCTGCGTGTGTGTGTTTGGGTTCAGTCTGCAAGTGTCGAGACAGGTCGTATACGTGTTTTTTTCTTTTCCTCTGCCCTTTCGCTCTCTCTCCACCTCTCGCTCTTTCGCACACGCTGCTCTGGGTTTTTGTTTTCGCTGCCTTTTTTTCGGTGTTGGTAAACGGATAAACTCATAAAACAGTTGAAACAACGTTTAGATATTTGCTCAGGGTTAGAAATAGTCGCAGACAACTTTGACACGAGTTTTGGCCTGAAGTTAGCTGCAAAGCCGATGTTAGCCTTTTGCTTTTGGCCAGAAAAGTAGGCAACAAAAGTTGTGACATTTATCATGCCAAAAGTTCATGTGAGTGAAATATGAAAGCTAAACAATGGAACAGAGCGAGTGAAATTAACTGGAACAAGAGCTCACAACTGAAACGTAGCTTAAATTAATATTTTTGAATAATTTTAGCTAACGCTTACATTTATTTTATTTGCATGTTTATATTTAATACTAAAGTGTGTGCTCTTGTATTGCAGGTGGGAACTTGAATACATGTTAATACACATTTAGTAAACTGATTTTTACGTAAGTACTGTTTAATATAAATACTTAACTTTTTCATTCTTTGGCATTGTTGGCGCCAAAGTAAAATTCATGTTAGTATGCTTATTATAATATTATTTAGCATAGGCTGTTATCCTAGCCCTTTTTTAAGATTCAAAAAATAATATTTCAATATACAATATAATAATAATAATACAATTTGAGAAAAATAAGAATTTGTTTCTACGAGCGTTGAAAAAAAAAAACTAAACAGCCCAAATTTTACCTTGAAAAATGATGAAAACTTCCAAGAAAAATTCAGTTGAACTTTAAATGTATATTAAAGTTATATTTGAATTAAATGACTAAATCAGTTGCATAGTAAATGAATGAATATTATTTTGAACAAGCTAGAATTTCTTCTAATATGTTAGATCGACTTTTATCCTACATGTGTTTCTTTTCAAAATTTAATTTAGTAGTTCTTTATTGAAATTTTCTGCTTTCGAAAATTACAAAACATTTTAAAGAACAAGTTGTGACTTTATAAGAATAGGAAATAATTTTCAATATTTTATTTATTTTCTTTTTAATATCTATTATCTTCATGCAAAGGTGTTTTCTTTATTAGAATAAGAAATCATATTGCATTTTCTTAATATCCTTTATCCTTATGGCTTGGAAAATTAACTTTCAATTTAAATCTATTTATAGATTTTTGTTTTTAGAAAATTTCGTCGTTGCTTTTATTATTATTTTCATTCATGTGAAGTTCAAGCGTTAGCAGCTTAACAGGTGCACATGTGTGCAATAGAGATAGACATGGGCTGGAGCAAGAGAGCGAGAGAGAGAGAGGGAGAGGGAGAACGTGTGTGAGATAGATAAATAGTGAAAGAGAGAGGAAGATGTTTCTATAAGCGAACTGAGTGAATTGTGCGAATATTTTTGTTGAACTTGTTTGCTTGCCAAATGCCTTTTGTGGCCGCTGTTGTTGTTGCTGTTGTTGGCTCCTCTTGTTGCCTTTTGCCATTGTCCGCCGCTGCCTGTTTTTGTTGCGTTTTTATTTCTTTTATTATGTGCAAATGTTTGTTTGTAATGCTCGGCGCCATTGTTGTTGTAGTCGTTGTTGTTGTTGTGTGTCAGTGTGTGCGTGTTTGTATTTTTATTTCATTTTTTGTGCGAACAATTAAAACTCTTTGCAATGACCTTGACTTTGTTTTTTTAAGTGTGTGTGTGTGTGTGTGGTGTGTGTGTGTGTGTGTGTGTGTGTGTGTGAGCTTCCTTTTCCCATTCACACGCGCCCAGCACGCTCAAACGTCAAACATAAAACACAAATAACAACAGCAACAACAAAGCCGTCTGAGTGTCTACTTGGTCTGAGTCTGGAACTGAGTCTGGGCCTGGGCCTGGGTCTGGGTTTGGTTCTGTTTTTTTTTTGTCGGTTTTTGGTTTGTTTTGGGCTTATTATGTTCTTCTCTTTATTTTGTATATTCGAAAACCCCCAAAGAATCGAATGGCTGCACAAATATACAATAATAACACATAACAACAACAACAAGTGCTCTGATAATGAACAAGAAACGTTTTCGTATTTTATTTCTTTTATTTTTTCTTTCCGTATTGTATAAAAGGCTTTTTAGCAAATTTTGTTCTCTGCGTTCTTTTTTTTTTTTGTGGTTAAGATTTGCGTTTTTGCTGTAGGTCAGTTTCTGGGGCAGGTTTTTGTTATATATACTTATTTTGTTCTCTCATTGTTTTCGCCTGGTTTGTTTTTGGGCTTTGTTCATTGTCAAATCATTTGCAATTGGCCATAAATTCGTTTTGCCTGCGTCCACATATCGCATTTTATTTTAAGACTCTTTTCGAGAACGCGCATTTCTGGGTTAGTGGCTCGATTTGGCCAAGTGCTTGAGAGGGGCAGTGGAAAGGGGCGTTTGTTGGCACGAACAGAGCCCAAATGACTTGCAGGAAATTTACATCGGAAATGTGTAAAAGTGAATCAGTGGATAAGTCATGAGTAAAACAAGTATAACGTATCGATTACAAGTAAATATACTTTATTTGTATTATTGTTATGCAATATTGCTTTAGATAAAAAACATACCTTATAAAGGAATTACATTCGTTATAATTAATTGTATATAAATATTACTATTTTATTGCGAATCCATTTTTTATATTAATAAGCAACTAATTAGATAATAATTTAAAATTGTTCTTTAGATAATATGCATTTAATAACTTACAGTCTTTGTTTAGTTTTGTACTTACAAGCTTTTAGATAATATAATCGTGAAAAGCCGTTGCTAAAAGTCGCTTTATCATAAAAAGTATTTGTAATTCCAGTATAACATTTATATATATTTATATATACATTTTTTTTAATTTCTCAATTTAGTCATTTGTAAGTCTTCTTTAGGCATTTAAAAAAATAAGAAGCAGAAATATCTGAAGTATGGCATTTAAAAAATTCTGATGCTACTTAAATTTTTTTGTATTTTTTGTATTTTTCTTATGTGTGTCTTCTTATATTTCCTAATTTTCTCTAAGATTTTCTGTATTATGTGTGCCTTTTTATATTTAAGATTTTTCGCATAATTTAATATAAATTTTTTTTTAATATTCTTATTTCATTTTTTTTTGTATTTTTTTTATCATTTTTTTTCCTTTATTTCGTAAATCAATCGACGCGCAGTTGCCTTTTTTTGTGTCAGTATTTTAACACAGGCACAATGCTCGGTTTCCTTATAATTATTAATAGTGTCCGATTTGGGCTACAACAATCAACGACTGCTCACAAAAGTTTCAATTAACATCGCTTAGGTAGTGCACTCAAGAATGCCGTCTACAATTACTAAGAGAGTGCAGTCACATAATACCAGACCCAAGCCTCATATGATCCATTACACCAAAATGAATCAGCTCCACGGCAAGCGATCCAAATGCTGTTACCATTAGCTGTGGCTCATTAAGAAGCTGACGCACACTTTGCAACAGAACCAGAAACAGCACCAAAACCAGAATTCCGAGTTACTTTGCACTAATGAAAACCGAGCGAAAATGTTATAAAAAAAAATACGCACATGTGCAATAAGTGTGGTTTTTGGCGCAGGTAGGGTGTAGGGGTAAGCGGCTTGCTGCTGAAGTGGAGCACGCCGAAAAACCGCGTGGCTGCTGCTGTTACTGCTGTTGCTGCTGCTTCTGGCTGGGGGCCACAAGACAATGCGGTTGCCTATTCACATGTGCGACTATAATTACAACAACGTGGCAGCATGCTCAGAGGAGCCAGTATCTGCCATCTAAAGGATGCCAGACCGCATCAAAGTTACACACACACGCACACACTCCCACAGATACCGTTAGTTATAACTGTTTGCTGCAGTGCACTTGGCAGCACTTGCTTAATACATTTTGCCAGCTACCGCCGACTGGCTGACTATTATTTCGTGCTCCGGCTGCTACCTTGGCAAACCCATTAGGTTAATAAGTAGAAAAAAATGAGCGAAAAAAAATGGAAATAAAAAAAATAGAAGAATTCAAACTATGCGCGTGAGACGCGCCAATGGTAAATACGCCGCAAACACTGCGGTACACTCCCCAATCCCCTTCCGACTGCTGTCTTCCAGGTGCTCAGCTGCCCGGCAGCCCGGCTGCCCGTTTGCCTGGTCCGCCATATTTAAAGCGTCCGAAAGCGCAAAAATTCCGCCAGACTTTGACTAGAAGCTGCTGTCGCTGCTGCTGCTGAAAACTGGCAACGTTGCATGCCATAAAAACGACTGCCCAGCGACGACATTTTTATGGCAGCTCTGGCAACGCAAGCAACAACGCCACAGATCGATATGTGGCGCAAGCGAATACGTCATATAGTGCTAGCTCACTCTCGCTCAGCGTTGATTGGCGCTGTGCGCTGCGCATAATCCAAGCGAGCAATGAAACCAACACCAACACGCACACACACAGCTGCACAGACAGCGCATAGCGTTTATTTGATTTATTAGCGTGTGCAGCAGCCACTAGCGTTGTCTCTGTCTAGCGCTCACGCCTGCCCAACAGCGTAGCGAAACTGGTTTGCAAATGCCGTCACACACACATACACGCACACACACTCACTCGAGACCCGTTTGACTAGCCACCCTGTGTGTGTATGCGTGCGTTTACGCTGGCTCGCAGCGCCAAGCGGCCTCAGACTCAGCTGCTGGCCAGTCAGTCTCTCATTCGTCTCTCGTATTCGCTGTCGTCAGCACACGCGCACGCAACGAGCAACGGATTCGAGAGTTTCGCGTACGAGTTTTCGCCCTCACCTCGCCCAGCGTACTACACGCACGCACACACACACACACAAACAAGCAAGCACACGCACACACGTCGTCGGTTATTCGCTTCGGTGACGGCGCTCGTTAACGCTGGGAACAGGTTTCGCCGCTGTCCGCTCGCTCGACGGCGAAACAGAAAGGTGCTCAATTCCGCGTTGTGTGGAGGTATTTTTCGACGTCTCACGCAACGCGCTGATTTTTTTGCCCAAATAGCAAAAAATACAACAAATTTACTACAAAAAAAAAAAAAAAAAACAGTAAACTCACAATATTATCAAAGCATATTTCGCGACGCGTTTCAACAAATAAATTTCAAGTGTTTTTGCGTTCAAATATTTGATCGAAAAGCTAAAACAAATAGCAAAAGCTGTTTCAAAAGGCAAAAGAAATAAATAAATATATATAGAAATCTATATATGCTATATACATCTTTATGTGTCAATTGCCAGAAATTGGCGATTCCGAACAAATTAACCTACGAATATCAAAAGATAACAACAAATTCCAAAATCCAACAAGTGCAACATGGTTTCCAAAAAAAATGTTCAAATCATAGCCAATAAATAACTGCTTAATACAAAAAATAATAATAAATAACAACATCAACTAAACTAACTTACTCAGAAAAGTAACTGTGCATAGACTAAAAAGTAACTCTCAAGCTGTTGAAGTGACATTTTTTGACAAACGTATCTTTAAGATACAGAACGTGCATTTACGGATTTAACA